ATTTAGGGACTCCCCGCTAGGGAACAGAAGTAGCAGAGCAGGCAGTTCTGTCTTGGGCAGGGACTCCCACACTCTCATTCTCCCAGTGAGGGAAGCCAGCTGCCCTGTGGGGAGGTCCAGGTGGTGAGGGGCTGAGGGATGCCCCCACCACCAGGCAACAGGCTGACGGCACAGTTAAGCCATTGCCCAGGTTCCGACCCACAGAAACTGAGAGACAGTGAGCACTGTTTTAGCTGCAGCTGTGGCTGGTGATTCCAGGCTGCTTCCTCCGTAGCTGTCAGAGGTCTGACATCCACATATTTCTATTGGATTATTAACTGAGGTCCCAGAGTGAACAGCCGACAATAGTAATATCTTTCGTTTACTCACTGGTTCAACGAAATTTGCTTCTTGACCCCCTGATACCACCAATTATAACTGATGACTCTTCTGTTTCATTATCTTAAGGCTACTATCCAATGACTGATTGTATTCTATATAATAAAAGAGTAATATGCAAATTGACTCTAACAGCAGAATGACTGGGAATGACTGGTGACTATGACACACACTGACCACCAGAGGCTCAGTGCAGGAGCTGCCCTCTGGTGGTCAGTGCACTCCCACAGGGGGAGCTCTGGTCAGCCACAAGCCAGGCTGATGGCTGCCAGCACAGCGGTGGTGGCGGGAGCCTCTCTCACCTCCTCAGCAGTGCTAAGGAGTCGACTGCAGCATAGGCCTGCTCCCCACTGGCAAGTGGACATCCCCCGAGGGATCTGGGGCTGCCAGAGGGATGTCTGACTGCCAGCTTAGGCCCAATCCCCTGGGGAGCAGGTCTAAGCCAGCAGGTGGACATCCCCCGAGGGGTCCCAGACTGCGAGAGGGCAATGGCCAGGCTGAGGAACCACCCCCCATCCCTGAGTGCACAAATTTTTGTGCACCGGGCCTCTAGTCATTAAATAAGAATTCTTCAGGTCTGGCCAGCAGCCATTAGTGCTAACACCTACCCCAGGACTAGTAAGAAGGGAAACGAGAGGAGCCTGTACCTGCTTGGAGGTAAAACCTTCTCTTCCCTGTGGGAATCATGATCCATCCCAATCCTGCGGCTCAGCTCGGGAACATCGTTAACTGACTCTGTCAGACCTGTGGCAGAGAGAACTCGTGGTGGGCAACGGGCACCCACACAAGTCTGGTGTCTCGTTATTCACACTCACTGGACTGAGTAGGCCCCATGTTTGGATTCGAACTCATCTTACACAAACTCGTTCAACCGTTCTAGTCTTTTATGTTTTCTGAATGCCAGGCCCCTTGGGGGTAAGAGAGGACCAAAGAAGTTATTTTATAAAAAACAGCAAGTGAAACTGACTAAGACCTTTCTCCTACAAAGTAACAATAAGTGGCAAAGAAACAATTTATTTGCAAAGATATAAACCCGTATTATGATTCCACACTTCTCTTCCTGCTTCTGATAAAGTTAAATTCTTCACATGATGATACTCCAGGGGCCCACGTCACCTGGTCTTCTGAAGCAGTAGCTCCCACATTTTAGTATGTCACAGACTAATAAAATTTCCAAAAAGACTTTGACAACTGGCCAGCTTTCTGTTTAGCCATCTATGCCCCGAGAAACAAGCAAATACACAAATAAAACTCCACTCTGCCCCCACCGAAACCATCATTTACAGACGAAAGCCCAGGTAGCCTCCAAAAGAACAGACAGGGAATCCTGCCAGAGTAAAGAGCAGTCCTGTAAGTGGGATCAACTTCGCTTTAGGAAGAACTCAGCACAGTGGCTTTATTTCGTTTTACTAAATATTGCTAAGCATTTTTGTCACTAACGTTTGGGAACCACTGTTGTGTTAGTAAAGACCCAACCAGTAGATTCTCATGAAATAGGCATATATGGTAGTTACACTGGATACTTGGCATCTAAAACAAAGTTGCACACAATAAACCATTTTTCTCACTCTCTTTCAACGAAGCATCATTTGTTCACAGGAAAGTATTTGGCCCCTAGACGTGCAGGGGATACTGAGGAACTAAGACTGGCCATGACTGGGTAATTGTTGGAGCTGGTGATGATGAAATGGGGATTCGTTATTCTAGCCTCTCTACTTTTGTAAATATTTTGAGTTTTCCATTTATAAAAAGCTTAAAGGCCCTAGCCCGTTTGGTTCAGTGGATAGAACATCGGTCTGCAGACAAAAGGGTCCCAGGTTCGATTCTGGTCAAGGGCACATGCCTGGATTGCGGGCTCAATCCCCAGTCGGGGGCGTGCAGGAGGCAGCCCATCAATGATTCTCTCTCATCCTTCTCTGAAATCAATAAAAATATATTTTAAAAAAAGATTTCATGATGCAAAAAGTAAACAGTTATTGTAGGAAAGAGGTTACATAGGTGAATGTTTCAACAAATTTAAAATATTTCAAGGTGAAAAGTTAAGGGATGCATATATTCTTTCTGATTGGTGATTTGGGTTTCTTAGGATATATTCCTAGAAGTGGGATCTCTGGGTCAAATGGGAGTTCCATTTTTAATTTTTTGAGAAAACTCCATGCTGTTTTCCACAGAGGCTGTATCAGTCTGCATTCCCACCAGCAGTGCACTTTTCTCCACAATCTCACCAATACTTGTCATTTGAGGATTTGTTGATGATAGCCATTCTGACAGGTGTGAGATGATACCTCATTGTCATTTTAATTTGCATCTCTTAGACCAGCGGTTCTCAACCTGTGGGTCGCGACCCCTTTGGCGGTCGAACGACCCTTTCACAGGGGTCGCCTAAGACCATCCTGCATATCAGATATTTACAATATGATTCATAACAGTAGCAACATTACAGTTATGAAGTAGCAACGAAAATAATTTTATAGTTGGGTCACAACATGAGGAACTGTATTTGAAGGGCCAGAAGGTTGAGAACCACTGTATTAGATGATTAGTGACTTTGAGCATTTTTTCATGTCTCTTGGCCATCTGTATGTACAGTTTGGAGAAGTGTCTTGCCCATTTAGGTTCTTTGCCCATTTTTCAATTGGATTGTTGGTCTTTCCTTTGTTAAGTTGTATGAGTTCCTATATACTTTGAAAATTAACCCCTATTGGATGTATCATTGGCAAATACGTTCTCCCATGCGGTGGGCTCTCTTTTCACTTTGTTGATCATTTCTTTTGCTGTCCATAGCAACACAATTTAAAATAGCTAAGATCTGAAAACAGCCCAAGTGCCCATCAGCAGATGAGTGGATAAAAAAAAGCTGTGGTACATTTATTTATATAATGGAATACTATGCAGCAGTAAAAAAGAAGGAATTCTTACCATTTGGAACAGCATGGATGGACCTGGAAAGTATTATGCTAAGCAAAATAAGCCAGTCAGAAAAATATAAATATGACATGATCTCATATAGATAAGTATATATGGAATCTAATGAACAAAATAAACTAATGGACAAAATAGATCTGTAGACACAGAAGCATGGGGCAGACTAACGAATTCCAGAGGAAAGGTGGAGTTGGAGGTGGTTGAGGGGAGAGATTAACTGGGGAACTTATATGCATAGACATGATCTTATAGATAAGTATATATGGAATCTAATGAACAAAATAAACTAATGAACAAAATAGATCTGTAGACACAGAAGCATGGGGCAGACTAACGAATTCCAGAGGAAAGGTGGAATTGGGGGTGGTTGAGGGGAGAGATATT